TGTTTCTCATGAAGCCTATTGCCCAAGAGTCAGGGTTAGGATCAGCTGGTTAGCTTGGACCAGTACATGTGACCCCTTCCACCCACCCGAACAGGGTTTTGGGTGGTGAGGGAAACCAAAGACTTGGAAGAGAAGGTGGTTCTTTCCCTCCAACTTACAGTCTATGGGGAGAAGAACAAGTCGTGTTTGTGAAGCAACCCAATCACAAGTCCAGTGTTACAAGCTCAGATTCGATAAAGATGCTGTGAGGGAGAGAGTCAGCAAAGAGTTGGGCCTCTGTTTCAGCAGGGAAGCCTAGTGCAGGATCCTTTTGAGAGTAGATTTAGTGGCCAGTCTGAGGCAGGGCTGAGCTCAGGCCATGAGGTTGGTGAGCTTGACCCTGGTAGGCAGCCATCATCAATGTGCCTTGGAGCTGCTTCAGAAGCACCTGAGGAGAGAAGCTGCCAGCCCATCTTCCCTTTTGGAGGAATGAGTCTGGGGAATTTGGTCCCTCCCTTTCAAAGTCGCCCGCATCAGTCCCTTCTCAGGCTCTCCCAGAAAATAGCATCAAGTCACTCAGTCAGTAAGCACTGCTTCTCATTCCTTCTTTGGGGAATTTCCAGAATTACTCAAGTCAAAGGCTTTGAGGATGTCTCGGCGCAGTGAGCGCCTGCGCCTCCGTTACCAGGCACTTGGTGATGGAGGCAACAGCAGCAGCAGCAGAAGCAGCAGCAGCAGTGGAGGGAATTCCCAGGTGGCTGAGCAGCACACCAACTGGAGGGAGGGTCCCTTCAGGTAAGAGGAGCCAGAGGAGACTCAGCTGCCTTCTCTATCACAACTCTCCAGGGCAGCCAAGGGCCTTGGCTGCTGCCATGTGCACACTTCTTTCCTGCCCCCAATTTTGATAGACACTTCACTCTACTGCTTGCTTTCCCCCCAAACCAGAGAATTTCCTCTCCCCCTGTGGTCCCACCCTTTGGCTGCTGCTGCCTTCTCTTTCTGAGAACAGCAACTGAGGAGGGGCAACTTTGAGCATAGAGAAGGCTGGAAACCCTGAGGCCTGAAGCTGGGCAGGGAACAACCCCTCTCAGCCACAGATCTCTTCTCCCTGGCCGAAGGCCCACGCTTCTTAGGGTGAAGCCAGGTGGGTGAAGGGCCTGTGGGTGAGGAGACATTTTCAGCTGATTCTTGGCTCCCCTGATACCTCATCCTGGTGGTTTCATGTGGAAAGAGCTCCCCGCCCCTCCCCAGCCCATGGTAGCTATGGCTTGCTTGAATCCTGCCTCACACGTGATAAATTATTCATCCCTTTAAGGAAAAGAACAGCGAAAGAGGGCTTTGGCTATCATTACTTTTCATCCTTGAAGTCTCCAGCAAAGTCTCATTCCCCTGCAGGCCTTGCCCCTTCCATTTCCTTCTCACCTGTCCTCTTTTTCACCCTCTTCTCTTTGCTCTTCATGCTTGCTGTCCCCCAGGACTCTGAGGAGGAAGTCCAGTAGGGTCAAAGGCTTCTCACCAGGCCTCTCACCAGCCCCTCATCTGGCCCTGTACACCTGTAACACCCCTGAATCCTCCTCAGGGTACTTCTCCGAGGATGACTCTGCAGGTAGGCATCACTTCTTCTGCCCTGGAGGCCCATTCCCCAGGCACTGCCCCACTTCCTTCAAAGGGTGCCCCATAGCTGGGGGTGGAGCAAGTATCTCTCAGACAAGAGGAAGAGAGAACTCAGCAGTCTGGCTCCAGTTGGGGGATTGAAGAGTGGAGGGGGGGCTCAGGCCTCAGACATGGTTGTCTCTCCTTCTGGGTGGATGCTCATTTCTTCCCTTCCCTGCAGGGCACTCCGTTATCCACCAGCCTGGCTCTGCATCCACCTCCAATAATGGTGCCTCCCAAGTTGGCATCTTTAACTGGATGGCAATATACATTTCAGGTGGGTTGTACCGGGGGGTGGCCACAGTGCCCAGGGGAGTGGTGCTTCGCTGTACCGAGAAGAGTTTCTTCATGCCTATGCAGGGCCAAGCTGGGCCAGGGTGGAGTAACTTGAGGACTCTATGGGGAGATGGGCTTATTATGGAAGGATCCCCAAGCACAGCTGAAGAGCTCTGGGAGGATGGAAGAGCAGAATAGCCAGAAGCAGCTGCAGAGTTGGCATGCTGGGAGACGACTAGATCTGGGAAAGGATGGGCTGGCAGGGGCACGCCTTTGAATCCCTCTGCTGGAACCTTTACAGGTTGGCTCTTTGCAGCATTCCAGTGGTGCCTGGGAAACGCCTGGCACTGCCTGACCACAGCTGCCTCCCTCCAGGATTTCTTTCTGTTAATCAGGTCAGTGAGGCCTCCCTGGGGCCTGTCACAATCTAAGATCCACTGCTCCAAGGGACTCCACAATCCTCCAGGTCAATTTCCCCTTAGGCTTTGCCCTGTTCCTTTTCAGCTTTTGGAGACTTTTACTCAATGAATCTTATGATAGACTCAGGTCAGGGCCAGGAGTGTGCTGGGACCAGCTGCAACCTGCTCCTGAGAGTCAGCTCCCAATTAGGGCTTCGTTGAGTGTCTCCACTGAAGAAGATGATGGGAGAAAAGGGTTGTGTGTGCCTTGCCCTCCTCCAGAGCTGGTTGTTGAACATTTAGCACCACACGCCTGCCCCCATTCCTCTTGCATCTTCAGGGAAGTGGGTTGGCTCTGACTGCAAGTGGGACTCTGTTCTTGAGTATCTTTTAGGAGCTCTCCCCTCAATAGTTCCTGCCTCTGATCACAACTGAGTCTGGTGAGTTCACTTCTGCTAGTCTGAGGGTCCTGAGTTTGCAGGGACACTCCCTCCTTTGGGGTTCCAATCCAGAATTTTCTGCCCAGTCTTCCAGGTCTCCAGGCCATGCTTGCAGTTTCTCTGTGGAGGAGCATGGGCAGGTCTCCAGGCTGCCTCCAGGGCTGAATCCAGGAGCCTCTAGAGCAGGGGTGGGGAACCTGAGGCCCCAGGCCACATGTGGCCTTCTAGGTGCTTCGGTGTGACTTTTGAACTGAGTCCAAGTATGACAGAATCAATCCTTTGCGGAAGGGGATTGATTGTGTGAACTCTGGCCACAGTGGAGGACCTAGTGGACCACATGTGTCCTCGAGGCTGGCAGGTGTCCCAGGCCTGCCCTGGATTCTTGCGACCCTAGGCTGGGCCAATGGTGACCAGCCAGCCTCAGCAGGGGTCCCTCCTGCAGCTCTTCCGAGTCCAAATGGACAAGCAATGTAAGGACTTAGACAAGAGAAGACTGCCTAATTCATGAGCAGCACATTAATGTAGTTCTGATGGAGGCCTGATAGGGAAACACCTTCCACTGCACCTGTCAAAGGGCAGCATGTCCCTTTGCATAACAACATGAGCGCCTTTTGGAAAAGCCAAGTTTTCTCCTTCTACTTTACCCCAAGGGTTGTCCATACAAGCCCAGTTCTCCACTTCCTGGGTACCCAGTGGCAGGGAGTGGAGGTGGGAGGGGGAAGAGTGGGCACACCCTTTTGGTTGTTCCATTTGCCACTTAGGGAGGGTCTGCCAGCAGCCAGGGGTGGTGAAGGGCAAATGCTAACATCTCCTCCTTCATTCCTATGAAATGCAGGAGCTTTTTCACTCGGAAGAAGTTGCTCCTCTTTGTCTTGGGGATGCTGTTCTTTGTGGCTTCGCTGGCTTATGGTGAGCCTTGTGGAGTGCCCAGGTCGGCCACTCCAGATGGGGGCGAAGGACAAGGGTTTGGGGACAGGGCCTTCAAAGTTTGGAAGGGAGATCGTTGAAGGGGAGCCTTTAGGGAGCCAAAGGGACAAAAGCCCTGGGAAAAGGGACCCAGGCCACATATGGGCAAGCTGTCCTGCCTCAAATGTCAGAGTTCTGTCCTGTCTCTCCTTCTCCTCTCCATCTAATCCAACAAACCTTTATTGTGTAGCTTGTGTATGCTGGCCTCAGAGCCTCATGCTGCAAGGTCAGGGTGGCTGTGCCACCCACCTTGAGCATGTCAGGGGCATGGAGGTAATTTATCTGTGCCTTCAGTGGTCCCTGACCCGGCACTTGAGGGTGAGGGATTGAGAGAGGCGCTGAATCAGGAAGGAATCTATTATCTGAGGAAGACACACAGCCGATGCCAGGTCTGGAGGGCTTTGCCCCTTCTCATTGGTGAGAACACACAGGCCAATAGAAACAGGCATGATCCCAGAAGGGCTGGGCTCTTGGTCGGGAGACATGACATCACTCAGTCCATACTGTGAGATCAAGTCCAGCTCAGGAATGATGATACCACATGCAGATGGTCACCAGAGGCTGTCTGCAGTCAGCCTCTCTACAGAGAGCGTTCTGGTCCTCATTCAAACGGGACAGGGCATTGTGTTGACCAGACTTGGGACCAGAAAGCAGCCCTTGTGGCTTCAGTCTCCATGTCCTCTCCCAGCTGAATCTCATCCCTCATTGTTGCCATCATCCAAAAGTATTTAATGACTTCTTAGAGGATCCTGAGAGAGGGATCCCTTTCCTGAAGGCTCTTGGGATGGAAGTGGCTCTAGCCATAGCCTTCCAGATCATGGGGCCCCTAGCATATCTGCCTTCCTTAGGCTGGGATCCTAGCTCACATCGACGTGACACTGCCATACTCAGGCTGGATGGAGGTCCTCACCCTAGACTTCTTGCCCTTCTGACACCTCAGCCTCCGTCTCAATGAGCCTTTTCTCCCGTGTGCTAGGTGCTTGGTGTTTCTACCCCTATGGACTACAGACCTTCCACCCTGCTATGCTCTCCTGGTGGGCAGCCCGTGGTAGCAGCAGGAGAGAGGACAGGTGGGAACCAGCACAGTCCCCCTCATATTTCCAGGTGAGTGTCCAGCTGAGTGTCTAGAACGCTTCACGCAAGATGGGCAGACAACCCGCTCACAATCCTCTTCATTCCTCTCAACCCAGAGTGGGAGCCAGGATCAAAGTTCAAGCTTTGCCACTTGCTGCCTTTCAGACCTTGGGCAATTCAATGTCAGTCTCTCTAAGACTCAGAGCTCATCACTGCCCCCCCCTTCAATTGAAATCAGTTGCCTTCCACTAGAGGCCTTCCCTAGCACCTTATCACACAGTGGGGTGACCCTGGGAACCCAAGGAGTCTCCACAAACTGGCCAGCACAGCCCAGACTAGCAGACTTTACTAAGCTGGGAAGACGTGAAGGCCATGTGCGGATCATGTTGGCTGCCCACCAGAAGCTTATCCACCAGGTGATTTGATTTGTGGAGCCATGATGACCTTGCAGGCAGATAAAAAGATCAAACAATAACAGAAAAAACCCCCAATTCATGGAAAACTTTCGACATACATAAATACATACATACACACACACACACTTATATGTATATGTATATCTATATATATCTGTATATCTATACATATAGATGTATATATATATTTATGACTGACTGGAAAGGGTAATTTCTCGTTTTGCTTTCGTATCACCACCTTTCTCAATATAGCCTTTCCATCTCCCCCTCCTTCAGAGTCATCCCTTAAACCAAAGTATAAAACAAGAGGGGAAGACAATAGCTCAGGAAAACCAACCAAGTCAGCAGTGCAGTCCTGCCTTCTGTGCAGATTCCATGCCAGTCAACTCCCAGCCCAGCATTGAAGGGAAGGGAAAAATGTCCTCCTTGATGATTTTTGGGGCCACACTCCAGCATGATCTTTTCACAACATTTGGTTTCAGATGTTGGTTGTTCACTCCATTTACATGGTTGTATGCGGTGCTTGTTTATCTTGTACTCTTCCTTCATTTCTTTCACTTTGCCCCAGTTCATGTAAGTCTTGTCATGTATATCTTTCTAAAACAAGAGTTGTGGTTTCTTCTAGCATCAGAATATTTCATTGTATCCATAAGCCACAGTTGGTTTAGCCATTCATTCCCCTGCAGATGGGTATTGACTTTGTTTGCTACCAAAGAACTTTTTTGGTGGTTGGATTGGGATGACATAGAATAAGTAAGTTAATTTTGGTACTTTTGTCACTTTGATTCTATTGCCTTGACTTATGCCTGAGCAATGAATATGTGTCCAATTGTTGAGATCTGTCTCTGTGTGTGAAGGATGTTTTGTAATTGTGTTCCTGGAGTTCCTGTGTGTATACTGACCACAGTTTTTTCAAAAGAATTTCTCTCTCTCTCTCTCTCTCTCTCTCTCTCTCTCTCTCTCTCTCTCTTTCCTCCTGGATTTTCTTGGTTGATGTATAGAAATGCTGATGGTTTTCATGGGTTACTTTTTTATCCTACAATTTGGTTTAAGGAATTGTTTTAACTGATTTATTTTTGTTGACACTCTAGGGTTCTCTGGGTAAAGGTTGGTGTTTTCCTCAGTCTCATTGTAACCTCTTTGTCCTTCCAGGAGCTGGAAAGTGAGGTTGTGCAGAAGACATCTGAGTGGCACAGGTAAGGCCCCAAACTGCCTGGCAAAGAAAAAAGGAGGGGAAGAGGGGTAGAAAGCTAGAGCTGAGAGAGCACAAGTGAGATTCCCAGGGAGAGAGGGGTCACTGGAGCCCGAACACTTCGGTTAGCAGGTCTATAGGATCGATCCAAACTGAAGCCGACCTCAGAGAACAGATGAAGGTACTGAGGCCTGGGAGGGAAATGATCTGCCCAGGCTCTCCCAGGGAGTAGATGTCAGCAAAGACTTGCACCCAGGCTTCTGGCTCTGTCCTTTCCATTGAGTCGTGGTTTTTTTCAGGAGACACAGTTCCATTTCCTGGTCTCTGTTTGACTCCATCCTCCAGTGCCTATTCTCCTGGTTGACTTTGACCTTTCCTTTTGTCCCTGTCTAGTTCTTCCCAAGAGGAGAAAAGGCCAAAGGAGATGGATTCCCTAGAGGCCCAGCTGGTTGGCTTGAGGCAGGAGCTGGTGGCTTTGAGCCAGAGGCAAGCTGAGGTGCAAAAAGAATTACACCTTTGGCCAGAGAAGATGGCAGCCCTGCGCAATGAGGTGAGTCATCTGGTCTACCAGTTAGGCCACGCGTCCCCTGGGCGCTTCCCAAAGATGTAGGCCCATTGGGTGGACTTTATGATATAGACAGGATGTTCCTCATCTGTCAATTGGGATAATAACAGCCCCTAGCAGGTCCAATGAGATGATTTTTGCAAACCTCAAAGCAGTGGAGAAATGCCAGTCACTTGGTTCACCATGCCTTCCCTGGCACCAAGGTGGCACATGGTGACCCCAGAACTCAGAGTGACTCTAGACACCACAGGACCCCTGTCCAGGCCCTCTTGCTTCCTCATTTCTTCTGTTGCTCTGGTGTTTGCTGAGCTCTTTCCTCTGGTGGCTTCTAGGTGGAGTCTAAGGTCCCTGGCTGGATTGAGCGGGTCCTTGGTATTAAGCAAGAGGAGGTGCAGGCCCAGCTTCATGACCTGGAACACAGAATCGTGAGTCATGTGGCCCAAGAGTGGCCCAAGTCTGTGAGCAAAGCTGCTGCCATCTTAAGACTGAGCCTTCTGAAGGAAGGAATGACCACCGGCGTGACGAAGGAGGTGAGGCCTGCCCCACTGGCTGTCC